GGATGGACCAACACCTGAATGAATCATTATCCTTCACTGTGTCCACTGTGGTAGCAAAAGTATGAACAGGGCTTCAGAGCAGCAAGGGGGGGGTGTTTCCATCCTGGGCCCTGGAGAAGGCTTCCTCTCAGAGAAGGGGCCCTGGGAGTTGAGTCTTGAAGGATACATGAGACACTGTCAGATGAAGAAGGCCTCATGTAGGGAAGAGCAGGCTCTGCAGAAGGAATGGCCTGTGCAAAGGCACTGAGGTGCATAAGAACATTTCTATGGGATTCTGGTGGATGTGAAGTGATTGGGGGAGAGGGTATCTCAACTCTTCCCTCTGAGCTCCCTATGTCCCCATGATATGTCATCCTGTGTGGGTGAGACAACAAGTGTCTGGTCCCGCACAATTCCATGGTCAGTGACAGCTGTCATTAGCAGGGCAGAGGCACGCTCCCCCTGAGTGAGGAGCTCCTGGATTCTACAGCTGTGCTGTCAGCCACCGGCCCCATTCACTCCCAGCCAGACTCTTACCTCTGCTGCCCCGTCTCAGGGAGGAAGACCCCTCCCCCAGAATCGCCGTCTCTGTCTATGGAGGCTGAAGCCAGTGGCAGCCCTGTCTTTTGTGGGGGCTGGACTGGATCAGTGTTCGGGGCCTGGGAGACCAGCTCCATTGTAGCTACGGTAAAGCAGCAGCAGCACTGTGAATAGATCACAGCTCTGACAAGCTGTGGAGCCTTGGAAAGTCCTGTGTAGGACTCGCTGTATATTCCATCCCTGTGTCCCCAATACCCTTCCCACCTCCCCAGGGCCTGGCATATGGCAGGCACTTCATACATGTTTGTTGAATAAATTCTGTGCTTAAAAAAAGAAAGGAAAGGAAGAGAGAGAGATTGATTGATTTTTAAAAGGGAGAGACATGGATGAGATGTTGGGGCACAGGCACACAGTAACAGATCACACCCCTAGGGCCCGTGTCAAATGCCAGGTCCTATTGCAAGCACCTTACATGCATTAACTTAATGAACCCTTGCAAGAACTCCATTTGGCAGTTAAGAAAACTGAGGCCACGTGGGGCTATGTAACTTGCCCATGGTCACATCTGGGAGCTGGGTGTGAACCTGGGCAGTCTGGCCTTAGAAGCCGCACTTCTAACCGTGGAGTGTGATAAATACTGCAGTTGTGGTAGGGAAGGGTCTTCATGGGACACAGAGGAAATGGCACCCCTGGGGCACGGGATCACCGACGAGGGAGACACAGTCCCAGTCCCCTCATTTGCTCAGTGCGGGTTCTGGCCCTCAGGCCTCTGCGCTAGCTTCCTGGAGACCAGCTCCTGTGCTCACTGGCTATTGCAGTTGACTGGTCTGAAAATTGCTATCAGGAGTGTGGTGGTCTCCAGTGTGGCCTGCACTGCCAGCTGTGGGTCAAAGGAGCTTGGCTCCCAGAGCCTCTGACACCATCTATTTTTTGTTGCAAAACAGCTGGCCAGATGGTCGGCTTACTTTATCCTGTTCCCAGATCCCTGCCAGCAGAGTTGCCCAGGGGATCAGCAAAGTAAGGGTGGGTTTCCACAGGGCTTTCAAGAGTCACCAGGGAACCCTCCTCTCCAGAGCCCACCATCGCTTCCCTCCCTTGACCTTCCCTCACTGGCTGTCCTAGTCTCTGTGGTCAGACCCGCCACCCCATTTGAATATCACTGTCTGCCAGGCACTCTGCCAAGCCTATTGCATGAATCATCTCATTTAGTCTTCACTACTGCAGCCTAGAGGGCAGATAGCATTCTCTTCTCTTTGCAGGCTTGGAAGGGAGGCATACCCCCCA